TGCCAAGCTTATGGTTACAAAGTGTATATTACTTCCCTGGTTACAAATTGACTTTGTTTCAGTTCACTCAAGTTCAGTTACTCTTCAGCTGTGTTTTAGTTCTTTCCACACACACCTTCCACTAAAGCTTATAAATTCAGTAGGACTATAAATCCTATGAATCTCTAGCTTTATTCATAAATTACAATTCTACAGAATAATGTGGATCTGAGCCTTGCCTTCACTGACTCTCCGTTGCTCAAAGAACTTATCAATTTAAACTGATTCCACAGGACTTCTTCTGTCCTCCCAAAATCCCTCCTCCCTATATGGGAATCTGAATCCCCGCAAGGCTAAACCCTTATGCCCAACTGCACTCTTGGCAGTTGTAAGACACACTCCTGCCCCAGCAGACTTGACACACTCATCAGTGGCACTGGACTTCTTTTGTCCCTTTAAAATCCTTTCTCCTGATATGGGAGTCTGAATCCCATTCAGGCTGAATCCTTATGCCCAACTGCACTCTTGGCAGTTCTAAGACACACTCCTTCCTCAGCAGGCTTGACACACACATAAGCTCTTAATGGCTCCTCCTCCTTTTTATAGCCATTCATTAGGCAGGCCCCCACCTTTTTCCCAGTCTGATTCTGATTAGCTATTCGGAACATTCTACCTGCCCGTGTCCCTCCACAGAAACCCTTCTACGGTCCCAGTTAATCCTCTGCTATCTCATTTCACAGCTGTTTTTAAAAAGTCTCTGTTTCTGTCTCTTCCTCCATCTTTCCTCCTTTCCCATAGGCTTACTTCTATCGCTGTAAGCTGAGTTCAAAATGAAAAAGTGGTTTGCATGTAGTTAACTGAGATGAAGGAAGTGGAGAGGGCACAGTGTTGCTCTTCCCACTAGGCTCAGGCAATAGCAGACAGCTGCAACCCCTCCTAATTTGTCTCTTCTTCCTCATTAATAACTTTTTGCCATCTTGGCTTCACTTTGATATTGCTTGGCTACATATGTCCCAGTAGGGTATGAAACATCGGAGGGTATGAAATGTTAGCAAAGGGAGGTGATTTCATTCAACATTTCCCCCCTTTAAGATTTTTGTGAGCTTAAATTCAGAAAAGTCCTAATTGTTTGCAAACAGTGTAAAATCTATAAAGTAAAAGCCTGGAGGAAAATGTTCATGCAGGGCTGAGGAAGGGGGATATATGCTCTTGGCAGGAATGAGCAATGAAGAAACTGTGCAGACAAGCAGAATAATAAGGAAGAGGTGGCTCAGAAGAAAGCTCATGGATTAATGAAATGAGACAGAATAAACTGTGGACTGAGAAGCAGGAATTCAAGAGATGATGAGAAGACTGAATGAGAAACAGGATCTGGGAACAATCTCACATAAGGCTTGGGGTTGAGAAAAGTAGTGTGGAAATAGAGCCGAAAGATAAGATAGGTGGGACCTTGGAAGTTTTATTTATTAGTTTATTACTTACAGCAGGGGTCGGCAACCTACGGGCCGAATCCGGCCCCTCGAGGCCTTTGGACCGGCCCTAGGCCAGTCCTGCTGCTGCCGCCCCTCACCACCCCCTGCCACCGCCGCCTGTGCCGCGCTAACCATTTTGTTTTCCAAAATGGCGGCCACGACTCGTTTGCACATGTGCAGTACTCCTGCACATGCGTGAGCGAGCCGCGGCCGCCATTTTTGAAAACAAAATGGCAGCCGCGACTCGTTTGCACATGTGCCGAGTACTGCGCATGCACGCGAGCACGAACACATACAGTACCATCCCCCCCCCGCCGTCGGCCCAGTGGAAGACCTGGGGACCAGCGACCGGCCCCAGGTAGGAAAATGTTGCCAACCCCTGACTTACAGTTTTATCTGCCCTTTCTTCGGTGAACTCAAGGTGGTATGCCTGATTCTATTCCTTCCCATTTTATTCACAAAATAATACTGTAAAGTGGCCCAACTAAGAGACAGTAATTGACCCAGAGTTGCTCTTTGGCTTCCATGGTTCAGTGGGGACTTGAAACTGGACTTCCCATATCCCAGTCTCCCAAAAAAGGAAGACTGGAAAGAAAAACAACTGAATTATAATATACTGTATACACAAACTCCAATCCATCAACATTGGTAGGAACAGAGACAATGGCTTCCTGACACACTGTTGTTGTGTGCTTTCAAGTCATTTTTGCCTTATGGAGACCTTAAAGGTTTTCTTGGCAAATTTCTTCAGATAGGATTTACTATTGCCATCCTCTGAAACTGAGAAAGTGTAACTTGCCCACTGGGTTTCATGGCTCAGCAGGGATTTGAATCCTGCTGTCCAGAGTCATAGTCCAACACTCAACACTAAGCCACACTCAGGATATACAGAAATTAACCAGATGATGGAATGCCACCAATCCAGCCTGATCCAGGACTGGCATTACTAAATTTATTTAGAGGTGTAAATAGGGAAATAATGCATAAAGATTTCCTTTCCTTTCTGTTATTAGCAACCAGACAGGTTATTGCCAGCAACTGGAAGAACCCTACAGCAGCCAGCTTAGACCTACGGTACAAAAAGGTTTGGAATTTAGCACTACAGAAAGACTAACATGGCAAGTAAAACAAGCAAAAAAAACAGAAAGATAATAATACCTTTGAGATAACATGGTTCCTATTTATTTCCTATGTAAATCAAATTAATGAGGAAAGAAGTCATATTCTATAAACCTATGGTTCCATTTGGAAAAGATTAATCCAATAGAACAAGTAATAGCAGGGGATTTACTTTGTATTTCAAGAGCAGGATAAAATATCTCATGCCTTATGATCTATGTAAGCATTTGTCAAAGTTTGTGCGCTGTTGATCTATCTTTCTCATGTTAATTTCTGGTTTTTTTAATGAATAAATTTTATTTTAAAAAACTACACCACACTGGCTTCCACTACACATATTAATCTATTTTAATATTGTAATAATTTAATTCTATTTTTATACATAACTTTTTAAGTTTTTAATTGTACTGCTCTTTTGAATTGTAAGCCGCTCTGAGTCCCAGATTTGGGGAAAAAGCAGGATATTGCTACTACTACTACTACTACTACTACTAATAATAATAATAATAATAATACACTGATTAACACCCCAGCCTCATGAGGACACTTTTGCCCTTTCTAGTCCTCAGTCTGCACATACCACATTCCAGAACTCCATCCACCACTCATATGGTTATCCACCCAACCTAGCCTTAGGCAATGCCTTTCCTCCTGCCTTTATCCCTCAAGGACCATAGCTAAAACTGAAATTGTCACCTCATCACCATACCCACAAGTTTTGCATTTCCATGGCTATTCAAATAGTCTGATTATGAAGGGACTTCCTGGATAATAGTTCACTCCATGCATCTGAGGAAGTAGACCACGTCTAAAAAGCTTATGCTACTTCTTTTGCACAGTTAGTTTGAAATATGCTACAAGAATCCTTTCCATACTGATATCTCAGACTAATAAGGCTATATCTACAAGTTTCCCAAATGTTCATCCCTTTTTGCACTATAATTCAAGATCTTCCAACCAGCACAGACATATTAGTCCTTATTAATCCTCTGTTACCCCACTTTTTCAACTGCTTTTAAAAGGTCCCAGTTTCTCTCTTCTCCTTCCACTTTCCCCTTTTGTCCTGGCCTTACTTGAATTGTTGCAAACTGAGTTCAGAGTGCGTAAGTAGTTTGCATTCAATTAACTCAGCAGGGGAGATGAGGGGCAGAATCTTGGCCTTCCCTGTAGGTTTGGGCAAAAGCAAACCGCTGCAGCATTTTCTAGCTTGCGTGTTCAGCCTTATTAATTAACTTTTCCCATCTTGATCACACTCTGATGTTGCTTGGTCACATATGTCCCAGTTTTCATCTGTGAAATGTTGAAGGGTGTTTGAAGGGGATCTGTGAGGAGTAGCCCAAAAAGTACTGTTTCCAAGCTCTGTTAATGTTACAAATCTATGGTTGTTTTATTCCATTCCCAAAAGTTCCTTGTCAATTCATAGCAACAATTTATTTTAAATATCGAATTTGCTCTCAGCAGCTAGAACAAAAGTTCAGAATCCATCCTCCTACTATGTTTCATGCATTCTGTTCCCAAATGTCTTGCCCTGTGTTTTGCACAAGGCAGGATAAGACAGGCTTACATACCATGGAGTCACAAAGATGCCAGGATGGCCCGAAAGTGACCTTCTATGCATACAAGCTTTGCATAGCAGTTCTTGTACAGGAACTGAAAACAGCAAAGCTTAGCAAAACAAAACAATGCAGACAAGGAGAAATTGGTATGGGGAGCAAACAAGTGATTGTAATTCAATGTTACAATAGGCCTCGCAACATAAATAAAAATACAAATAAATCCAAGGATCTGTCCTCTCCATGGCCAAGAGAAAGAAAAGTCTGGTGCTAACCTTCTTACTTAAGCATGCAATCTAGGGCTGCCAGAAAATTAAATAACTTGTTATGGCTTAATAAATCTGGGTTTTAAACTGTGCTTTAACCAAGTAACCCATCAATTAAATTTTGATTCATTTGCACACTACCAAAAACTCAGTATTGATGCCTTCTTCAGATATTATATCCTCCAGCATTTCACAGATAAAAACTGGGACATGTATGCCCAAGCCACATCCAAGTCTACATCTGAGGAAGTAGATTTAACAAAAGCTCATGCTGTCAACTTCTTTCTTTCATTTAGCCTCAAAGGTGCTACAAGATCTCTCTACATTATTAAGTTTGCTTTTGCCTGAGCCTTCTGGGAAGGGCAAGATCCAACCTTCTCCCCTCCTGCTGAGTTAACTGAGTGCAAACTACATTTGCACTTAGAACTCAGTTTGCCGCAGCTAAAGTAAGCCGAAGATGAAGGGGGAAAGTAGGAGGAGGTGACAGAAACTGGGACATTTTTAAATCATCAGAAGAAGTTCAGTGACAGGGGATTAATGGTGCCTGTCCCTAACAACCTGAGACAGTTGGAGTGTATAAGATATCATAGGAAGTAAGCGTTAATTGAAGAGGCAGTGTGGTGTAATGGTTTCAGCACTGGACTATGGCTCTGGAGGCTTGGGTCCAAATCCCCACTTGGCCATGGATCATCACTGGGTGACCTTGGGCAAGTTACACTCTCTCAGCCTCAGATGATGGCAATGGCAAACCCTCTCCAAGGAAACAAGCCAAGAAAACCTTGTGATAGTGTCACCTTAAGATTACCATAAATCAGAAATGACTTGAAGGCACAACAACGAATAAGATAATCTACAATTGAACAAAACCTAATTATAAGGAGGAAAGTCTGCTTATTATTCCATGGCTTATAAAGTAATCCTATATATACATTTTTGGACATACATCATTGATTTTAATTGAGACCCTATAGAAGTCAAAATGTTGGCAAAAATCTTTCATCTTTAAAATCTACCACTTTAAATTATCTAGGCTTCTATGTATTAAAGTTATTCTTATTGTTTTAAAATTTGTGAACTGTATGGGAAAAAAAGAGAGAGAGAGAGGAGGCTGAGGGAAAATAAATGGCAAAAAAGCCCTCCAGGATGTTGTACTGTAGTTCCACTGTACTTAGGTCTCTGGAAAGCTAACAAAAAGCCTTTATGGCAGGCTCAGAAAAGAGCGCCCAGCTGAAAGATAGACCTGTACCCTCTTTGTGTATCCAAGCAATTTCCCAGAATGGTTTCAAGTTTTACAGCTAGCTTTTGTTATACAATGAAAAGGGCATGACGGTAACCTTTACAGTGAGAGACAGTCACACATACACAGTGTACTACATGAAATCTTTTTACTGTATTAGATATTGGATCATTTCTGTAGAGAAAGGTATTGGACATTTATTGGAATCTGTTGACACATCAAATATTTTTGATTTTCCAGGTTCAATCATTGGCAGTTTCACAATCACCTGATCATTTTTGTCTGTTTTGCACTACAGAGTGTTCTTTAGAAGAAGAGAAATGAGAGCAATGGTGAACTGCATAATTTTTTCCTTGCCTTGTGTTTCCCTGACATATTAAAAGTGTCTAGGCATCTGGGAAGAGGCCATTAAAGGTGCATCTGCACTGTAGAAATAATGCCTTTTGACACTACTTTAAGTGCTGCAGCTCCATCCTATGGAATCCTGAATTTATAGCCTTCTCTGCCAAAGAGTGTTGGTGCCTCACAGAACTATGAATCCCAGGATTCTGGAAGAGGGAGCCATGGCAGTTAAAAGTGGTGTCAAACTGCATTATTTCTAAGTATACATGTACCCCTTGACTTTTTGGTCAGGTGGTGCGGCACAGGGTTGATTTATACTATACAGTTGTAGCAGTTTGATAGCACTTTAACTATCATGGCTTTGTCCTATAGAATCTTGGGACTTTTAGCTTGATAGGGTACTTAGAATTATCTGGAACAGAGATCTGATGCTGTAGCTTAGGGAAGTAGACTAGACCACTCCAGCAGTTCTCACCAAACTACAAGCCTGTTCAGAGGTTTACCTAAAGGCATGCAGAGTTAAAACTGTAATTAAAACATCCATATATGCCCCCCTCCTGTAATGTCTGTGAGCACATAGACATAGACAAACATTAGACCTTTATGTGTTCATCTGGAAGATCTGTAGCCATGTTCAGGTGAAAACATTTTTAATGCTCCCTTGAGCAGGAATGCTGATAAAATTTGGTCCTCCTCTAGAAGATTTCTTGTAGAGAAAACTTGTGATACTTCCTTTTGGGGGCTACAAGTCCCAAAGTCTATGGAATATTGTCCCAGATCATCAGTGTTGGTAACTATATAGTAAAAAGCAAATTCATATTACCTTTTCAGAAGCTGTTTATCTGTCTTTGCAAAACATATGAAAATTCAACACATTTAAAATTCAATGACATAGCCATGTTAGTATGGAATATCAGTATGCAAAGGGATCTTGTAGCACCTTTGAGACTAGCTGTGTAAAAGAAATTGTAGCATACATAAGCTGAGGAAGTAGACTTGGTCTGCTTCCTCAGATCCATATCTATTAAGCTTATCGCACTGTGTTTTCGTAATGTAATGTGTATGTGATGAGAATGGAATGGAACATATTTTATCGCACAGTATGATCCTCATCAAGTTCCCATTCTGTGCTCTGACAGTCCCTAGCCCTTTCCAGGAGCAGAACCGTAAAAATGTGTTCTCAGCCAGCAAGAACACTTTCAGACCATTCCAGATGATGTGTGTGCGATAATCCTACCCGGTCTCAACCTGTCCTCATGTTCTGATTGGCTAAGACAACCTCTTCTCCTCCTGTCCTAGAACATCCACAAACTCAACTCAACTCTTCCAGTGTTGATGCAAGGAAGGTGCCACAGGCAATTTAAAAAACATTTTTTTTTGTAGATTGAATTATATTGTGTAATTGCAAGAAAAAATGCTGGTACTGGTACAACAGTAAATGCAGTGCGATAATATGTGTTTTCATAACGTTACTATTGCGTTATCAATAGTCTAATGTGGTAACACCTATTCTCATATTGTTACATTCTAGGGACTCGATGGGAACGTTACAGGTACTGGTGCGATAAGCTTATCAATCTAATATATTCATTGCCTTCCTTGTTTTGTTGGTTTCAGACTAGGCGTTTTCCTTGTTTTACCATATGGAGGTATGTATGTCAGTCAGTGTTTCAGACTCCCCTAAAATGTGCCTAATGTTAGGTTGTTGCTTTCAGGAAACAAAACATCTCAGTCCGGCCCTTTGGAGATGTACAATTTGTCCTCCTTCACAGTCTCCACCATTTCAGCTGAAAATGAGATAGTTCAGTTGAGGCTTATCAGAAGTATGTGGGTACACAATGAAAAGTAAAACCCATCTTAAATCACTTTCAGAGCTAAGAAGAACTACTGTCTGCCCCCAGGCTATGCCTCTGAAGAGTTATTCTCCATATTCAGCTACAGGTTTTCTTTCCATCCATGGGGACTCCTATTTAAAGCAGAATGACTCCACCCTTGCTCCGATTTCAGTGTTGTCTTTCATCATTCGAAACAGGGGTTACCCAGCAGTTTTGTGCCCGAACTAAAAGCAACTGTGTTGAAATTTGTCTGTGTCACTAGCTGAGAAAGGCTCATGAAATGCCATTCGAAACTTTGTAATATGAGCTCAGTAATGGGAATATCAGTGTTTTCCATTTGTGAGCTGTAACTCAAGCTTTCACCAGTTTATTTTCTGTTTCTTCTCCAGTTAAGTTTGGTTTGGTTTGGTTTTGAAAGTCTGCCTTTAAAAAAAGAGGTCATTGATTAAGTTCTAGCTTTAAAGTTGAAAAGGTTTCTCAGAGATGCAAATCTAAGGCTGACACATGCAGACAGACAATGGTGTTCATTGTTGTCAGTTGCCTGCATTGAAATCATGAAAAAATAAACAAAAACAACCAAAAAAAAAAAGAGAGAGAAGACAGTTCCTTGCCTCAGGCATTCTCACTTAACTTTTCCCTTGAGTTTAAATGTAAGATACTGAGAATAATTCTGTAGGGAGGAGAAGGATGCCATAAGCATGGTGGTTCATGTTGTTATTTGCTATTCAGACAACTTTGACATCTGGCAACTCTTTGACTACTCAGACCTTGCAAACTAAGGGCTCCCTTGACTGAACCAATCTACCTGTAGTTTCAGCTCCCACTTTTCCTATTACTGTCTACTTTACCAAGAATTACTTAGCAAATGAGTGACATCATATGGATTTCAAATGAGTTGATTTTCCTACCAGCTTTCCCCACTACCTAGCTTTCACAACCCTACACAGAAATCAGAATATTATAGGATGAAGATTCTGATTTTGGTATACAATGATATATCTTTACTTGATGGCAAAACCCCTATGAAGCAACTTGTCAAAGAAAACAATCCTGCAATAAGATTGCCTCAGGGTTGCCACAAGTTGAAAACAACTGAAGACACACAACAACAACAACAGCAACAAAGTATAGAAAATCTTTTAACTATTTTGATATCTTCATTATTCGTTTTAAAGTTATATGAACCATTCATAGTCATTATTTTTGTTTTCTTAATATTCAGCACTAAACTTCCTTTTGCAGTTTCTTCCTTAACTTTCTTCAACAGTTTTTATATTTCTTTTCTGCAATATGATTCATCTGCATATTTTAAACTGATGTTCCTTCCTCCAGTTTTCATACTTCCTTCCTCTGATATTAATTCTGTTTTTTGTATCATAAATTTTGTATATAAATCAAACAGATAGGGTGATAAAATGCAGCTTTGTCTGATACCTTGCCAATGGGAAAATATTCCATTTCTCTGCATTCTATCTTGAAAGTAGCCTCTTATCCTGAGTACAGGTTATACATCAATACATTTAAATGTTGTGGCACACTCATTTATTTAAGACTAAGCCATAGTTTTTTCATTATTTATGTTATCAAAGGCTTTGTTATAATCTATAAAGCACAGGCTTGTTTTCTTCTGAAATCCTTTGGTATGTTCCGTTATCCAATGTATGTTTGTAATATGATCCCTAGTGCTTCTTCCTTCTCTGAACCCAGCTTGGACATCTGAGATTTCTCACTTGATATATAGTCTTTATTAGAATTACCATAGTACTGTGCAGAAGAAGGCAAGGGTAAATCACACTGAAATGCCTTTTACCTTGAAAAGTCTATGATAATGAGACACTCCAAAATGAAGCAGAGATAATACTGGAAGAGGAGACTCCTAGGTTGGAAGGCACTCAACCAGCTACTAGGCAAGAGCAGAGGACAAGTTTTAGTAGCACTGTGTCTAATGATGCCACTGGACTCAGTGGCTGAGACATTGAAAACAAGAAATGGAATGCAGAGACACAGCTGTTCTCAGTATCAATGAGCTAAAGAGGCTAGGAAGGGACATTTTCAATCAGATAATTACACAGTATTTTACTCAGGAAATTACAATCTTAGCAGAAACAGGGTGGCATGAATAGTGAAGTGAGATGTAGCAAAAGCAGTCAGGGGGATGTAATGCAAAGTCTGACCCAATAATGTCAATAAGAAGTCGAAGACTTTCACAGCTGGTATCCATAGGTATTGTGGGGTTTTCAGGCTGTGAGGTCATGTTCTAGAAGAATTA